GAGAGAAAGTCTGGAACATGGATACAAGGAGACATGTACAAGATGTTCATTGCAGCATTGTTGGTGTTTGCGACAAACTGCAACCAACCTAACAGTTCATGAAGGGACTGGATATATAAACTCACCATACTGCACACTGGCGGAAATGAATTACCTTATTTCTACATGTCCCCAAATAGCTGAACCTCAAAAAGTGACTTGGGGTAGGGGGGAATCTCAAATTGTAGAAGGTGTACAAGCTATGAAACCATGTATATAAATTTTTGAAACATTCAAAAGAGTAACATTGCTGTAGGTGACGAGGTAAAAGCTCAAAGGCATAGAAGGAGAATTATAAGTAACTTCAACACAAAGAGATCAGAGATTTGATCTAAATCTCAGTTCCACCAAACACTTGCCTACGGGCAAGTTGCTTAATCTACAGTGCCTTGACTTTTCTCAACTGTAAAGTAAGAACAATCCTTTTATGTCATGAGATTTTTCAACAAATGAGTGTCTTGGTTTAAGAGCATGCTCAGTCAATCATCATCATCATTTGAAAGGAGAGAACCGAGCCTCTTAATGTCCTGCTTCAAGGCCTCTGAAGGTACAGGGTAAGAACCCTCCAAGTTTAGCTCTTTCACACATTCAGATTTCAGAAACTTGCGCTTTCTTGCTGGGCCAGAACACCCAAGTACAGAAGTGCATATCCATGAAAGGCTATGTACAGGACATAAATCATAAGAAAATAATTAGAAACAGGTGGGATTGACTGTGAACAGCCTTTCTGATGTCCTGCTGTGGTAGAAAGAGAATTTAACAGAATTTTGTAGGCATGTGGGTGTCTGTTCCCTCATCTGAGAGGCACGGGGGCTGGACAAAGGAGACCATTCATTCCAAAGTCGGTTACTTCATCCCTTTGAGCCCTCATTTCTCCAACTCTTTATGGGTGGTAATAAAGCCTTCCTAAAGAAGCTGTTGTAAGGATTAAACCAATGGATGCACAGAAGCTAACGAGTGGAAGTACCTACTGTATGGTCCCTACTTTTGCAGCTCAAGGCTTCCATACCTCTTCTCTGTGATAAGGAAGACACATTGCAGACCTCCTCTCTGACATTAGCAAAGGCCAAAAGACCTACCTATCTTAGTGCCTAGAAAAGCCAAATTTGAGCTAGTTCTTTGACTTAGAATGTAATTATTGTCGTTTGCCGTTGCTGTTTCCTAAGAATTTTTCATGGACTGTCTCTTCCTTTAATGCTACCAGTAGGTCTGTAGTAGGTGGTTAGATAGGCATGAACAGAATAGGAACCACAGACCAGGTGCAGAGGATCACCAGGGTGGAGCACCCCATGCCTAGCAATGGGCAAAACTACAAGCTTTTATATGACCACTCCCTTAAGTATTAACCCCTGGTGTCAACAGGTGTGAATGAGTTGGAGTGTCCTTTCTCTAAGAGCAGTGGTTTTTTGTTTGTTTGTTTGTGTGTTTGTTTTGTTTTTTCTCGTGGAGGAGAATGGCTCCAGACTCCCAGGCTCTGGGAGAAAATCCAACTTCACAAACATGAAGGACCAATGAGTGACAACTATCCTCTGGCATCTTTTTTGGCTCCCTTTTCTCCTGCCTTATCAAAATGCAAAGCTTTTTACTAGAGAAAGCAAGGCAAAGTACACATTTTCTAATAAAGCAGACAATTACTTTGGACATATTTGAGCAAAACCATGTGGATTTATGGATTAAGAAACATTTGTGCAGCAACTTGTCTACACATCCCCAGGGCCTCAACAAAATTGAGGCTTATAATCACAATCACAGATTTCATCAGGGTTCACTTTAGGCAGAAGATACAAAGGTTAAATTTTCAATGTACCGTATTTTGTCATATATGGTGTGCACTTTTTTGCCCAAATTTTTGAGGGAAAAATAAGGATGTGGATTATACATAGGCAGTACTAATTCTGTATCTATATGTTTTTAATTCTTTTACTTATGTTTATGCATTAAAAAGTGTAACTCTAGAAAGCAGTAATGATATCCATATGCAAAATAATACCCTGGAATATGATAATCAGTTTTGTATCTAAATATAAATAAGTAAAAAAAATTCAAATAAAATATTAAAACAAAAGATATTTTTCCTGAAATTGTGTGCCAAAAATGTGGGTGTGCACTAAACACAGGTGCATTATACACAGGAAAATATGGTACATTAGTAGGGTCATTTCTTTAGCTCCCACCTTGAATAATACTAGGGAAAGACACAGGGCTAGTTTTATATGGCTTGTTTTAGAGAGAAAACCACAGGCCCAAAATGGCATCATTTGTGCTGAAAGCCCATGATGCCAAACTTAGATTTTTTTTTTTTTAATTCTCACCTGAGAATATAGACAGACAGAGAGAGGGGAGGAAAGAAAGAGAATGGGAGAGAGAGAAACATCAACGTGAGAGGGAAACATTGATTGGTTGCCTGGCATATACACTCCAACTGGGGATTGAACCTGCAACCTTTTGGAGTATGGAACAACACTCCAACCAGCTGAGCCATTTAGCCAGGGCCAAAACTAGATTTAATACCTGATTTAATTGCAGTTTCAACCTCTCCAAAAAACATAATAACCAGTCTGGAATTTTCTGGCCAAACACTAGTAAGGTAATTTGTCCTGTGGACTCTCCCTGACCAACCCCCTCCCCCCCGCAACTGCCCCTCAATACATAGAAAGGAAATCTGCAGGTTAGAAACCATTCCCTTCACCTTGGCTGGTGTGGTTCAGTGGATTGTGCACCAGCCTGCATGCCAAAAGGTTGCCAGTTCAATTTCTAGTCAGGGCATATGCCTGGGTTGAGGGCCAGATCCTCAGTGGCCCTCATATGACAGGCACCCATAGATACTTTTCTTCCTCTTCTTCTCCTTCCTTTCCCCTCTCTCTAAACATAAATAAATAGAATATTTGGGGGAAAAGCCCTTCCCTTCTTTTACCCTAAAGAACGGGTGTCCTGGCCCCAAAATAGTCATTTCTTTTCTATAGAACCTTCCTAACAATCCTCTGCACTACCCTAAAGGAAAGCACTTTGCCTGAAATAATCTACTCTAATTTCCTAGTGCAACCTCTTTCTGCCTGTAAAACCTTCCTTTTGTACAACTCCTTGGACCACCCTTCTATTTGCTAGATGGGATGCTGCCCAATTTATTAATCGCTTAATAAAACCAATTAGATCTTCACATTTACACGGTTGAATTTTGATTTTTTTTTTTTTTTTTTTTTTTTTTTTTAGTGAGTGGCTGAAAGCATTCACTTACTCAGCCCAGACAGGATGGGATTATGAAACAGGTTCTTGTTAAGAAATAAAGCGTTGAACTTTTCTGTTTGCAAAATGAACATTTATTTCACTTCCCCCTCTGTGTTTTCTGCAGAACATAGAGCTGTGAATGAACTTGCTTCACTTTCTCTAAACCACATGTTACTAAGGAGCTGAAGTCAGTCAGTGGTGACAACCACTCTTTGGGATTAAACTGTCAAGTAACGTGACCTGAGGGTTTCTGTCTCCTTGAGAGTAATTTTCCAGTAAGCAAAGACTGGAATCAAAAGAATCCTGGGCTTTTATGCCTTTTTTAAATATGAAATCTCCCTTATCTAATCATGTGAGGTCAGCCCAGAAGGAGTGCAAGAAATTGTCCGTAAGGCTTGGAAAATACCTGAATGAATAAGATAAAAAGAAGCTGCCAGAGACCAGAAAACATGACTCTACGTCATTTTACACTAATTCACTTTTTTGAGTTCACATCCATTTCTCTATTTTCCATTATTCTCCTAAGTTACTATATATTCACCCAAAGCAAATAAATTTTTTAAAATTAATGTATAACTGGCATATACCATTATATTAGTTTCAGGTATACAAAATAATAATTTAATATTTATGTATATTTTGACATGGTCACCACAATAAACTAACATCCATGACTATACATAGTTAAAATGTTTTTCTTATGATGAGAAGTTTTAAGATCTACTTTCTTAGCAACTTGCACATATATAAGGCAGTATTATTAACTGCAGTCAGCATGCTGTGTATCACCAAAGAACTTTTAATATACAAAGTTCATGGGCAATTCTTTATAATCTTGAGAAAAATGAAATTATTTATAGCTGGAGTAGGGAATCCTTGAGCAGATTTTTTTTTTTTTTAAAGCAAGTTAAAATCAGTAGTAGCTACACATGAGAATAATCAAAGATTTAATTTTTTGTTCCCAAATGGTCTGGCTCCAGCTAAAAATTCAGGATCTGAGAGAGTACAGGAACAAGCAACAGTATAAAATCCTAGCGCTCATGCTACTCAAGTATATTTTCTAGTCTTTTATTATTAGCTGTGCAGATCTCTAGATAAAATCTGCAAGAGATTTAGAATTGGTTCTTCTTTTATATTCATAGAAGGTTCTTGTAATTCTCTAATTAAAGATCTTTAGAGATTAGCTTTAGTTAGAGAGAAAAAGCAATGCAAAGCCAAACTGGACTATGGTATTGTATACTATTTATATCTAGTGTGATTTTCAAATTAAGAATCAAGTGATCTGTCAACACAATCTTTGCCAAGCACTTGAAATAATGAGCTATTTCTTGCCATTGGATTTATTGACTGTCAATACTTATTTCAAGTGATCTGAGTCACCTTAATATTTGTGTGAAACTGCAGGGTATAAATCACTTAATGAGAAAAATGTCTAGTGTCTGACATTAATCACAAAGCCATCTTCAAGTCCAAGCAAATCTCTAAACTGAAGAAAGTACTTCACTCTCATTCTTCCACTCACATCAGCTCTTGTGGACAAATGAAATGAGTACATGGGAACCTATTATTGAGGCAACTAAGTAGCCAAACAACCTGGAAGTAAACTGCTGCTTCCTGGAAGAGATAAATCTGACGACCAACTTAAAAAAAAGAAACCAAAACAAAACTCTCCACCCCCAGCTAGGTTTGATAGTAGATAGTATTGGTTGGAACACAGAAAATCAGCAAATACTTACGATCATTATAAATGTGCCCAAGAACTCGGAGAGTGTTTCTTTAGCTAAGCTGCTTTTTAGAACCAGTCTCTGCTTGAAGGTTTTTCTCTTTTGTCTCTTCTCAGGCTGCATCCTGCGGCTTCTCCAAGGACTGCTCCTTCCACCAATACCTGCTTCTTCTGGTCCCTACTTCACTCACAGGAAAAGGAAGTTTGACAACTGCTCATAAATTCCTTGAGACCTCTGACGAGGTTATTTGACTCCACACTGTCCCAATTACAGCCTGTGACTTAATCCTCTGATGAAGTTGTCTCTCCCTGTTCACTGCTATTTATTTGAATTAACAAGATAAAGCTTTTGAAATCCCAAAAGAATCCTTTTATGCTTTTTGTGCCTGATGGATTAATCATTACCTTTATTCTCAAGGTAACTTTCTCTTGGTTGGCTTGGGGGTATTTTTTTCTTCAAGAGATGAAAAAAGAGACGTGTGCTTGTTGTGTTGCCAAACCACAGTGACGGGCTCCGGTCCAGAGATTTCTATGTTACACAATGGCAGGCTTCTGATTTTTTTTCAACCATTGGGAAGTGGGTGGTTGGGGTGCAGTTTGGAATTGTCAAACCAGGTATGTATATGTCTTGTGTAAATGTTCTTTTCTGAAGGAGATTTTCATGCAAATTGGAGGTGAAGAAAATATAGATGCATCTTTCTGTAAGAGAAATCAGAAAATATAGATGTGTCTTTCTGTAAGACTTAATATCATTAAATCTGTTTTCCTTTAATATCATTTCAGTGATTTAATGATGCATCCCTGAGAGCAGAAAGAACCATTGCACCCATTCTAGAGATGGAGAAATTAACATACAGAGAGGCCATTGCAAGTTTCTCATTGCAAGTCTGTAGCACAGGATAGGGTCTCCTCCTCAGCTACTGAAACTAGACGTCACCTCCTGAAGAAGTTTGGGATCCAAGAATCAGAAAGATGAAGAAGGCAACTTGCTGAGTTCTTTCCAAAGAAAAATTCCAGTTTGAAAACCAATTTTCTCCCCTTTATGAACCATAAAATATTTAGGCAAAATACATGGGAAATAAACAATAGCAGCCTGAAAATTCATACTGTTTAAAGATCACTGAGCTAGAGATTAGTATGAATATATGCCACCCCAATTAAACAAGAAAGTGGGTAAATACACCTAGGCTTCTGGGTTTACAGTTTGATGAATTACATCCTTTCAGGCAACAGTGTTGAGAGCTAGCTTCTTGTCATGTCAAATATTCAAGCTTCGTTTTTTTTTAAAACTAGTTTGTCTGAAGAAATAGAATCCAGCAGTTGTTTCTGAATACAAAGGCAGTCCCAAGCTTCCTCCAAACCCTCCCACAGAGAAGCTGGCTTTGTTTTAGGCCCTCCCCTACCTTTGCAGGAGGCCAGCAGACAATTCTAGCTGGGGAGGCAGCCTGGAAGGGAAGGAGCAGAGTCTGGAGAAAGCTGCTGGAAGTTCAGGAGCAAAAGGAGACACCTAATCTGTAGGCAGAACATGGAGTTTAGGCCTCAAACATTTCTATCTTGCTTGGGGACACACCATTTATTGTAGAGCCAGAAGAATAAAGCATTTGGCTTTAATTGCTGGTTAAGTTGTCATGGATATTATTGCCGAGGAGAGTTGATTATGACCAGCCTACTGCCAAGTCCCAGAGGATGAACCAGAGAAACAAAACTTCATTGCTGATATCAGACAGAGGTTTATTTTGGTCTCTTTGTTGGCTCATCTAAGAAATATTTACGGCATACCCATTATGTGCCACACCCTGTGCTTAGCAAAAACACGAGATTCTTGCCCTTCATGAGCTAAGAGTCTACTGAGGGGGACAAAGTGAAATAATCACACACACAGAAATAGGAATGCACATCTGAGAGGCATGCCACAAAGTGGGGGGACATGAGTGAACATAAGAGGGAGATTTCACTGTGTCCGAGAGATCTCTCTTGGCTCCTCCAAAGAAACCATGTCTGAATTGAGATTAGAAGGGAGCTTAGGGGTAAATGACAGGTACTGGGAAAGGAAGAGCATGTAGCTAGGCCTAGGGGGATGGAGGTGGAAATCATATGGTGTCTAAGACTGAAACGAACCATGGCAGCTGGCTCCCAGATCAAGTGAAGGAGTGATGCAAAATGAGCCTGAGGCTGTGGGCAGGGCTCAGACTTTACTGAGCCTTGTAAATAGTTTTTAGGGCTAAAATCAGTAAGTCATTGAGGTGGTTTAAGCAGTAACAGGACACCAGGATATTTGAGTTTTGAAAAGATCATCCTAGCCAGTGAGATGGAGAGTGGATTGGAGGGGACCTCATGTGGTCAAAGGTGGATCTATTGTGGATTATTACAGAAACCTAGGACTGGGTGGGGGCTTTGACAATGAGGAGAAATAAAACAATTCAAGAGTTCTTTATATCTTAAATTGGAAGTCTTCATGGTTTCAATACGGAAAATGAGGGAAAAGGACTCATAAGATTGATGTCTGGGTTCTTGGCTTGCTGGTAAGAGGTGCTAAGCAATGGGAAGGGAAATTCTGGAAGAGGACCAGGATTGCAGTGGAAGATCATGAATTCTGCTCGTGTAGGGTGAGCCTCATGGGTTGTCTGGTGCTTCTGAGAGAAGGTGTCAAGTAGAAAACGATATGGGTCTTGATTCAGAGGGAGGGTCTGTGCATGCATAGAGGAGATAATTAAAACCATGAATAAAAATGAGGTTACCTAGGGAAAGAGTTTGAAGAGAGCAGAGGCTGAACATTTCGTACTCAAGTAGAGAGAATGAAATCTTTATTATTTTTTATTCTATCTTCAAACAATGGTTACACTTTTCACCTCTTATGACTGCGAACAACTCATCAGCAAACGTAACGTACACTCCCCAGCCAGCCACCAAAAGATTCAAAAGCATCCAGAGAAGATAAAAATAACATCTCTCCTCTACATGGGAAGGGACATTTGCAAAGCCACTCTCATGCCAAAGTTTCTATTAGGAACATGGGACTGTTTAATTTCTTTCAAGCATTCATCCAGAAAAACCTTTTTTTGAGTATCACATGTCTATGGGGGACTTAAGTATTGGAAAATTTTAGTTTAGTTTAGTTTAGTTCAGTAATAGCTAATAAGCTTAGTAATCAATGCATGTAAAAAGCTATTGTTCCAGGAACTGAAGATATGACCCACCTTGCCTGCAGGAGACCATAAACAGTTCCACCTTTGTGCCTCAGGAGGACTGAAAGCAATTCAAGATGGTATCTGAGCCATTGTACTGCAAGGTGAGACATCCACAGCCCAGGACACAGAAAAAGACCGTCTTCCAGGACACAGATGCAAGAAATGCTGCAGCTTTTATCTGATGAACTTTTCCTCTGAATTCCAAACCTCTTACCTACACTTTTCTTCTACTTATAAAAAAGGTCAGTTTAAAATGGAATTTAAGATGGTCTGTTAGGGTAAAAACAGCACCTGTCTTCGCATATTACTCACTATCTGAATAAAGCGCCTGTAAAGATTCAATCCCTGTCTCTGTTTATTGAGTCTCTGTTTATTGAGGCAGCATGAACACCAGCTTTTCTGATTTCAATGTTAGGCACAGTATTAAGCAGTGAAAATTCAAAATATGAGGAAGAAAGATCTCTACTGTTAAAAGAGTTAGGTAGTCCACATGACAAAGACCTCCAAATGAATACATCATATAGTAAAACAGGCAGACATGCAAAATACTGAACCAAAATTCCAACTATTGCAGAACTTCCAGTCAAGGGGGTGGCAAAGGCAGACTTGGCTTACCTCTTTGCACAACTGTGTAGAAATTACAACTAAAATATAGAACAACCATCACTCAGGAATGTCAGAAATCGAGCTGAATGGAAGTATGACAACTATGAAATTAGAGAAACCACATCCATCTAAACTGATAAGGAGGGGCACAGGTGCAGAATGAGGTGGTCCAACACCCACATGGATAAAAATTCGGGAGGGATATCTCAAGAAACAGGAGTCCCAGGTCCACACCAGGCCCCCAGCCCAGGATTCCAGTGCCAGTAAGATAAGTCCCCACAACTTCTGGTTGCAAAAACCAGTAGAGATTGAGTCAGTGGAAGAAACTGCTGGAGCCCCAAGCAGTTCCTCTTAAAGAACCTGTACAAAGACTCACCTACTCAGATTCACTCTCTTTGAGCTCCAGCACGGGGGTAGCAGCTGGAAAGGCCCCAGTGGTATACAGGTAGGAACTGAATAGTCTGGCATCAAGGTGAGCAGAGACCAATGTCCATTTGATAAACCTTCCCCTCACAGAGCCAGTAAGATGGTACCTTATATGAAACTTCATCAACCTGGCTAACACTGTTTGACCCGCCTTGGAGATCCCCAGAAGCTCTGCCCCGCCCAACTTATGGGTCCACCCAAGCTGCTTTTCCATAAGAATGGCTGATCAAGGCTCTTAAATCTTATCAAACAAGCAACAGTTGGCTTCAGAGAGCCCTAGCAGCAGCCAGATTAGAGTTACGGCTTGGCTTTGCCTGAGAATCTCCAAGCCCAGCACAAGTAGCAGCCATCTCAGGTTGCTTTAAAGCTCAGGCAGGGGTGCCCCAGGCAAAACACAGGTGGAGGTTGACTTTGACCTGTATCACTAGGGAAACTGTAGAGCCAGCACACCCAGTGGATACCTACAAACCACACTGGAGCACTGCCACCCTGCCCCTGCACAGCTGATTTTCCACGGAGGGCGGAGGTTGATGGTCAGTGGTCACAGCCAGTCCTTGGAGCTGACTGGACTGAGGAAATCCCTCTCATCGATCTGCCAAGAGCAACCAAAGCTCAAGTACAAGAGGAGGGTGTATGCAGCCCACACAAATGATGTACCTTGAGTACGCAGCTTGGGTGATAGGGGAGGTTGCGTTACTGGACCCTACAGCACACCTATCACACTAGGCCACACAACCAAGACAGGGAGTCATAGCAGCTCTACCTAATACATAGAAACAAACATAGGGAGGCTGCCAAAATAAGAGACAAAGAAACATGGCCCAAATAAAAGAACAGATCAAAACTCCAGAAAAAAGAGCTAAATGAAATGGAGATAAACAATCAGATGCAAAGTTTAAAATACTATTTATAAAGATGCTCAAGGAACTTAGTGATGACCTCAGCAGCATAAAAAGACCCAGTCAGAAACAAAGGATACACTGATTGAAATAAAGAACAATTTACAGGGAAACAACAGTAGTGTGTGTGAAGTTGAGAATCAAATCAATGATTTGGAACATAAGAAAGCAAAAAACCCTGCAAAACAAGAAGAAAAAAAAATCCCCCCAAATGAGGACAGTATAAGCAGCTTCTGGGACAACTTTAAGAGGTCCAACATTCACACAGGGGTTTAA